GGGATTGGAACCGACTCTCTTGAAGTCCCGTTTATACGGTGTAACTTCATGGATCTTCTTCGTTGAATCCCGACGCTCAAGTCTAGCCCTGAAGCCTTGAAGGTTTGAAAGCCATTGGGGGTTCTTCAAACATTACATCGTGCACATAGGAAGGCGCCTGCAGAAAGCACGCCCCGGCGTCTCAAATCCTCAGCGAAGGCCCGTTTCTTCGACTTGGACTCTGCCTTTCTCTCTAAATTCGACACAAACCGCAAACAAAAAGCAGGTTAACAAACAGGGATCGCCCTACCAAGGCACTGGACCCATGCTAGAGAGCTCAAGCAGCCTATGCATCATCAGCTCCCCGAGCCTTTAACCACCAACCCACGCTTCTAAGCCTCTTGGACCCTAAGCCCCCAAATCCTAATCAACCGCGAAAGCCCCAAGGCCCTAAGCCTTTAACCCACTACCTAAAACCCAGAAGCCCTAAGCCCTAAACCCTCAAAGACCCGGCTTCAATCGGAGTCAGTGGAGGTCAGCTCTTCAACCTCAACCAGCGGTCGGAGTATGTCGTCCGGGCCCTATCCTCCCAGAGCCAAAACCCCATACCGCAGCGACTGGTCTAATGAAGAGTGCAGTATGGTATAGTGGATAGAGAACAACCAAGTGGTATAGTGGATAGAGTACAACCACGAGTTGAAGACCGAATCTAGAGACGTCGCAGGCCTTGAGCTTTTGCCAGGGTCGCGGCGGTGTTCTGTTCCTTGTTAGCGCTGGATGGGTCTGGACATGAGCCCGACCTTGGCACACATCGCGAAGTACCCGATCAGGAGAAGATCGTCGCAGTTGCCATCGACGAGTATGCGCCCGCCTCGAAATGTAACAACTCCTGGTCTTGGGTCATCTGTGTTGTGCGACGAGCATTTGGCGCAATCTAGTGCCTGTGGCATAGAATACGACCACAAAGTATGGTGCATCTCTTTTTAGTTTGGAGTGGGACAGTCGAATCACGGTAGAATACAGCTGGCATAGTAAGCATAATGCCCTGGTGAAGTACAGCCCCATACGACGATATATATATATATATATATATACAATAGAGCACACCATAGTACAGCCTGCAGTATATACAGGTAGGACTTGTCGCAACATGCGTGAGGCTTTCGGATGCGGCAGTACGATTCGGTATGTACAGCTACAACCCGACAGAGCCAGCAGCATACACTACAGCGCACGGTGTCAAATCCTGTAGCAAGGTCAAGTCCATGACAAATACTTCCGAACTCGATCTTGTTCCACAACCCCAGCCCCAAACCATAGCCTCGAATGACACATCGGGGCACACAGCTTGGGCAGCTCTTCGCAGGTCAAGTTGACCGGAGACAACTTTGAGCTGGAGATGAAGAAGAAGGATTGGCAACGATAGGCCATGAGGATTTTGGATAGGCCCCTCGGGGAGAGAGTTTGCCACCGGAGAGGCAAACAGTGTTCGTACATTTAGGATCGGTGCTTGCTGCCATGCTGTGCCAGTTTGAACAGTTGCCAACATTATTGCTTAGGGTTCCCTCCCTGATTACATTAACAGAAAAAGCATGCATGCCAAAGCCAAACTGTAATTATGAACGCTCTTGGTTACATTAGACGCCCTTATGAATTCAGTTTGATGAGCCGAACATCGCAAATTTGCAAATCACAAGCTGAGCCACTGCATCCTTGTGTCACCACCTCTATAGTACTCTTGATAGTAACCTGTATAGTCACCCGTTTAGCGGCCTAGTTATAACCCTTGCAGTAACCCTTATAGAACCCTAAACGTGTCGGAGCCTAACTTTCCAGGACCCGGTGCCCATCGACACACGATTGGAGGACGTCGTGAACCGGATGTTTGCACGATGCATGGAGGCCAGGGAGTGCATGAGAACCTTAGGTTTAGGGTTTAGGGTTTAGGGTTCAGGGTTTAGGGTTTAGGGTTTAGGCTAAGCCGCCCAAGCCCCATACTGGGTTTCCCTTGAGGCCATCTCTTTCCACCCGTTCCCCTCCCTGTACGGAGATCCACAAGTGATGGCAGTTCAGAGCAAACAGACCCAGATAGCATCATCCAGGATTCCCTCCACCCCAAGCCTCTTCGGGGTGAGCTCTCGACCTCCGCAGTGTGCAAAAAAAAAAAACACAACAACCCAAAACCCCAAGGATCCTGCAGTCGGCGAACTGAAAGATGGTGCCCAGGGGAGGAAGCCCAGAGTCCCCGAAGCCTTCCCGAGGACAAGGCCTACAAGCATGGCCTTGGAATGGCCTTGGAAACGCGGCGTCTCGACAAGGCACCTGGGGTCCTTTCCTCCTCCTTCAGACCTCTGAAGCTTAAATCCTGAGCCTCAAACCACTACGGGCTGAACACTCCACCCAGTGCCATGACTGTGGTGTTCATTAGGGTCAGCTCATGCAGCAGTGTTCTGTGCTCTCAAGCAGACAGAAAACAGCAGTGCTACGCATATCGATGGCGAGCAGGGGGAGGAGGAGGAGCAGGAGGAGGAGCAGGAGGCGAAGCAGGAGGACGAGGAGGAGCGGAAGGAGGAGGAGAAGGGGGAGGAGGAGGAGCGAGGACGACGACGACGACGAGCACAAACCACGACGAGCAATTCAGACGACGTGAGAATAATAAGTCCAAGATACTTGTTGTAACAAGTACTGCTGTGGTTTCGATGACGATGACCACAAGGTGGTGTTGCTAGTGTTGGTGGTCGTGGTGGTGGTGGTGGTGGTGGTGGTGATGGTGGTGGTGGTGGTGGCGGTGGCGGTGGCGTTGGTGGTGGCGATTATAGCTGTGGTGGTGAAGACGCTGCCACTGCTCCTGCTTCTGCCACATGTTGCCAGTAAGAACACAGATGCTGATCTGTGTACTGATGCGGCTGCCGCTGCAACAGCAACAGCAACGACCGGCGACGACACGACTAATAACTACTGCCACCTGAGGCTACATGCATTTGGCTTTTACTCCTCTTTTCTCCTTTCTCGTATCCTCCTCCGCCTCCACCTCCTACCTGTACTGCATGCTACTGCGACGGCAGCTAGTGCTATTATTTTCGCAACACTGCGATGTCACTACGACGACCTCCACGACAAACCTAGCAAGTCGTGGACTTCCTCCTCCAACTGACATAAAGGTGCAAAACATTTATATACAGCATTTCGGGGTGCATTGAGATGCACGCATTTTCGAGGAGAGTGCTGCTACTGGATGTCCTGGATTCGCATTTCAGCTTGGCAGGTCACCGAGTTCATCAAGCAGAGTGACGCGATGGCTGAAATGCTCGAGCTATTTCCTCAGCTGTTCAACAGAGCGGTTTCCAAGCTTTCATGCTGATGCACGGGCCTGTGGTGGGAGTGTACGATTGGTTAGGCTGGTTCCAGGCCTCGTGTTGGGCCCTGAGCCCTGAGCCTTGAAAGCTCATATGGCCCCAAAGATCCTTCAAACCCATCAAGTTCAAGAGCCCTCAAGCCCTTGACTGGAAACCTGTGCGGCCTGCTCGCTAGAGCCTGAAGCCCTCGAGCACTTTATTCGAAGAAGAGCCGTAACCTTTGTACCAGCCGTCCTTTGCTGCAATGCGAATGAGACCCACTTCTCAACCCGTGAAGGTCCCTGCACAATATCGGGTTTTCGGGTCAGGCCCTTTTTGCCGATGTTGCACGTTGCGAAGCCAGGTACGCGCAGCTCTCGGCGATGACGCTGCTCACCTCGAAAGCCTTCCGGGAACGTGTCCTGAAGGCACCCTTTTGAGCAAAAACGGATAGAGCCAGCTATACTTTATCAACACTATCTTGGCGTTCTTCTGGTTGGCTCTTAGGACTTTAACTTTTTGAGCTTAAATATATGAACCATAACAAGCAGGCTAACAGTTTAACTGTTAGGAGGGGTTCAGAAGTCAGCCCAGCTATTTCTCTAGAACACAATAAGGTATGATCAGCTCGGGAAGCAACCAGAACTTCAGCCATCTGTGAACCCCTGCAGCACTTGAGCAGACGGAATCCCAAATCCTAAACCCTGCTCTCTGATTTTGTCGTATTGTTACCCTAAACCCTAAACCCTAAACCTTAAACCCTAAACCCTTGCTGTTGCTCTGCCTCAGGCCTTAGTGGAGATTCACACCTCTGTCCAGGCGTGGGGCCTGGGGATGCGGCGGGAGAGGGTAGTGCGGTTCTCCAAAGACTGGGTTTTGGTAATCGGCAGAAGGCAGTTCGACTTAGGTTCCACCGGAATGACATGAGGTTCAGGCGGCTTTTCCTCATGTAGGGGTCAGAATGTTCAGAATGGCTAGTAATAGTAGCCCCCTTATAGTCCGCATACATTTGCAGTATACGCCGCCCAAGACCCCGATTCTAATTGTTGAGGCCAACATATTAGCCAGCCGAGGGTGCTGCAAGCAAGCTGCTCCGTCAGCTTAAGGCTTAACGCGATAAGGCAGGCGGGACATTGGGCTTCGAAAGCAGTTCCTGTACAACCTCGAAACTATAGTATAACATCAAATAAGTTATTGCACAGCAGAATAGCGAGTATAGTATAGTATGTAGTGTACCAGTAGTATATTATAAATATAGTATAAGGTAATGGAATATCTTCGGCAAAGTCGGGGTTGTGGAATCAGGTGGCCAGTCGCATGGAGTTGGTTGGGGAGTGAATTTTGGAGCAAAGCTGGCCGTGCACCATCGATTCTTTAGCAGCTAGATTACGGGTCTCTACCTGCTTACATACATACTGTCGTTCATACATACGTGCATACCAACACAGAAACAGTGTTGTCTCCATGGCTGCAGAAAGGAACGATTGTGAGTCGGACATATACCAAACCATTTTTGCACAGTGCAGCCGGCTCCCCTATCAGAAGCAAAACAAATCTAGAATCCAAGTGGCCACGGACTGAGTCCAAGGCGCCCAGGTCCGCCAAGTCAGATGATATTAGGGTTTAAGGTTTAGGCATCACTGTGACTTGATTACCATTCTCATCCTGGCCTGGGTCCTGCCGCCTATGCCACTATCCTTCTACTCGCCTCTACGAAGAACCGCAGCCCTTGATCTCCCGCTGCAGGAAGTGAATCTAGCTGCACTGGCTCAGTGCTACTTCATCCTCGGAGAGCCGGGAGAGGCGCTTTGGGTGCCCCTTCGGCTTCGAAGTCTTCCTTGCCCTAGAATGGCTACGGGGTGGTCTTCCCGTGATGCCTCAGCATGGATCGGCTACGAAATGGGAGTGAAGTGATGCCGTTGGTGATCATGTTTATTGCCACAAATTGCCTTGAACGCACCCCTTCCTCTGACGAAATGTAGCCGTGCTTCCTGGGCGCAGGTCGCCAAAATCTTGAAGGACTTGCTCGGACGCTCCGAGAAGGATCTGGCATCGCATATCACAGTAATGTAGGGGATGGTAATCATGTCTCCTTCTAGTCCCTGTATACTTACAGTATCTTATACTCCAAAATCCAGTTCTAGCTATTGAGGCCTTCATCTTAGATTCTGAAGCTTCGTTGAGAGCTATCATGCTGGAACGATCTCCGTTGTTTTGGATTTCGACTTCTATCCTGCCACAGGCCCTGCAGATATCTGTGACAGAGAGGGAGAGAGTGCGGTTGCAGGAGGGCCGCGCTCTAGCCTACCAGATTGGCTTTGACATCGTCCTTGACTTACATGCCTGCAAGAATCACTGCCGAAAAGAACAAAGAGCCACGAAGATGGTGATGCCGATGAGTATGGCGAAGACGAGCCGAGGCCACGTAGATGGTGATGCCGATGAGTATGGTGAAGACGAGGGCAACGATTTCTCATCACAGTAGCCAGCTTCATGAGACTGATGATGTTATTGCTAGCCGCCAGCTGTAGCAATAGTGTAGTTGATGCTGCAGCAGCAAGAGCGACGGTCGCGCCAATGGTGAGACATCGAAGTTGTAGCGAGTGCAGGTTCAACGTATTCACGGCAGGCAGTATTGGCTAGACGTTGATACCAGTAGCAATCGTGCCTACGTCGTGGTATCCGTGGTGGCAGTGTCCGTGGTAGATATAGCACTAGAATAGAGAGTGTTGCTGGCAGGGATGGGAGTTTAAGACATAGATATTGCAGCAGCAAGAAGATCCATGGCACAAGTACTCCCGCTTTTCAATACGAACAATGTGACGGTAATACCCAGGCAATCAGCTGGTTTCGGCTCTAAATCCTGAGCCCGGATCGCTTGTCTGACCGAGGTTGACAACGAAAGCCAGCACTTCTGCAATGCGGTGCTGTCATCGCCGCTTCTCAAGCTCAAGGAGCTGTCTGCCGGCCGTCACAGCGCTTTGCACTTTAATATGCTATCGATGATACTTGTCTATCTACTTTTCTACCACAGTATATGGAGCAGCATGCTCAAAGGCTCATTTTTCATGTCGGTTCGGTGGTCTTGGCGTGATGTGATGCTTGGTACATGTATGGTAAGGTCCCTGAACGTCTGGCCAGTCACATCGTTTTTTCGACATTCCAAAATTCCGTTATGTGATGTCGGCTTCATATCCTCTCCAACACAGTGTAGCAACACATGCTGTAGCCAGCAACACGAAACCCACTTCCAAATTCTCAACTTACGGTTCACATTTTAAAAAGTGCGTGGCCTCAAGTCCAATAATTCAGCATAGACCGTTTTGCAGTATACCTTCGTAGCAAGATGCTCCGGACAACATCCTGCTATTGCCTACTGCAGATCTTTATGTAACACTTTGCGGCGTTGCAGTTCTTTCTGCTGGGGACCACATTTCATCGCACAGCCAGTTTTCGACATGACATCCTGTATTTGACATTACCATTGTTATCACCCATGAGATACAAGAAACAGTGCGAGAAGCTTCCCCCGTATGAAACTTTCCACGCTGCGCGTCCCCTCCTCCCAGTCGGCTAAAGATCGTAAGCCCTGACATCCCTGACTCCTACAAGTTACCATGCCAGAAATAATAAAACCGACACAATCCGTAAAGTTACAAGCTCTGGAAGCTTAACTCCCACAAGACCACCAACACTAGCCCTTTGAGTCCCAAAGCAGAAGCCCTGCTACCTCTCATCCTCCTGTGAGTCGGCTTAGGGTTTAGGGCTTTTGCCCCTGCGCCCTACTTCCCACGGCTGAATCAGGGATCCATTGAATTTCAATGAAAAGGATGCAAGGTTTTTTGATTCGACAAACAGTCTTCTTCTTGTCGTAGAACCCTAAGGCCCTATTCCTAACCCTAGGCCCCAAACCCCACAACTTACCAATCATAATAGAACCCCTAAGCCCTATTCCCAACCCTAAGCCCCAAACCCCAAAACAGGGCTCTCCGACTTCTAGCAAGACGGAAAAAGGCTCACCTAAACCCTAAACTTTAAACCCTAAACCCTAAACCTTAAACCCTAAACCCTAAACCCTAAACCCTAAACCCTAAACCCTCCAAAACAGAACCAGGAGCCGGCTCCCGCTCCCGAGCCCCCTGCGGCTGCGCCGGCGCCTGCCGAGGGCGCCGCGGAGGGCGCGGCGGAGGGCGCAGCTAACGCCTCGGTTCGTCACCGGTTTGGGGGTTTGGGGCTTTAGGGCTTGAGGGGTTTAGGGGTTTAGGGCTTAGACGGTATGGTTGGGTTTTTCTTTGGAGTTTGGGGTGTGGGGTTTGGGGTTTAGGGGGTTTGCATTTGAAGTTGAGGTCACCAACCATACGGACCATGAGGCTTCCTATCAGGGCTCTACGGGGTGTCGCGTAAGGGTTCCAGACGGCATCTTGTCAGGGTTCCATTGCTGCAAGAGTTTCAGGTTTCAGGGTTCGGGTTTTTTTAAGGGGGATTGGTCTTGTGGTTTCTGAAAACAGGCGGTTCCATTTCCGGGGCTACTTGTCATGAGGATCCTACCTCCCATTTGGGATTGTTTTGGGGCTCAGTGGAGTTAGCTCTTTCATGCTTTTTCATCGAGGCGAGCCCCAACCCTCCACCCCAATCCGTCAACACTCAAGCTTTCAGACACTTGAGTTAAGTTAAGCTCTATGCCAAAAGACCAAAGCCGAAACAGAGTCTAACCCCTAGACCTACAGCCCAAAACTCTCAACCGCAAAGGAATACCGCCAACACCCCCAAACCCCAACAGCCCCATTCCTGCCTTCCTTGAGGAAGCGGCCCCAGCAGAGCCGGCACCCCCGGCTGCTCCGCCGGTGCGCCCCGCAGCTTCTTGTGTCGTTTCAGTGGCTGGTCTCTAAGCTAGAATTCGTCTCAGCTCTATAGAGTTTGTGTACAAACGCATTTTAAGGCTGAATGGCGGTGGTGGTGGTGGTGGTGGTGGGAAGCGAGGGACATCCCTCTCGAAACTGTACTGGTCGGGCGTTGCACTAGAGCATTCAGGAAAGTGTACAGAGCGAATAACATGCTTTTCGCTATGAGCAGCATGTGCAAGTCAGGTGCAGGCTTTGCACCTCATCGCCGTCCCTCCCTGACAGTAGCTGCAAACTCCAAGTCGATAGCATCATGGCCACAGACAGTCACAGACAGCCTGACAAGGGACAAGTACCCCACTCTTTCATCCGACAAGTTTGTGCCAGGTTGATGAAGGCCCAGCCATGTCGGATCAGGCCACGGGAACACGAACCCTGCTTATTCAGATCTTCGGGTCAGAGTATTAAAGTGAAGAAGAAAAGCGTGCATTCATTTGCGAAAGGCCTCGTGATGATATGCAGATGATTGTAGCTGTGTTGCTGGAGCTAAGCTGCGCATCGTCTTTCCCGTTCTCTCCCTCCCTCGTTTCCTCCCTCTCTCCCTCGTTTCCTCTCCTCCCTGACACTTGTGAGCAAGTCGCACACCCCCCACCACTTCAGTCTGCCAGCCAAACCTTGGCCCAAACAGCAGCATATTACTCGTTCCCTTCTCCAGGAGAAGGAGGACCTCACTCTTCTCCGGAAGATTTTGTCGGGGCGTTCCTCAATTGACCTGCTGCAGCCTCGGGGTGGAAGTCGGGAGTGCAGCGCCCTATAACCCTAAAGCCTGAAGTCTGAACCCCGACCCCCTGAACCATACATAAACTCCTGAACCCTAAACACTAACGGTTCTCCTTCTGACGTTGTGTACTTGAAAGTACTGCCCTGGGCTTATTCCCAACATGGCCGGTGGTTTCTTTTAAGGAAACCACGGCGTTGCTATCACCGCACCATTGTGTTACTCCCGATCCCGAGGCAGATGGAATTCTTGTACCGGAACAACCGGTCCGCCCCCGGCTCGGCATTGGAACATCTCGTGCTCCAGGGTCCATCTAAGAATTTTGGGGGTTCGTAACAGGCTCCTTTCAGGGATCCATTCTTCGGGTTCCTTGTTTCGGGGTTTTTGCAGGGTTTAAGGGGCCTCCTATCTTGGTAAGTCAGCATGTCCGAGATTATTTTGCACGCCAACGCCAAAGATCGCCCACCGTGGCTCGAGGTGTCCGTGTTTGGAGTTCGGGGGCACCCTTCTACAATGTTCTGCATGCATGGTCGGATGCTCCCGAGGACTTGCTTCTCCTGGACACCATCAAGAATTCAGTTGATTCAAAGATTCTGGGCAGCATCTGGGTCTCGAAGGCGTGACGTTTCGAGCTTTCTCCAGACCCCGATGCCCTTAAACCCCATAGTACCCTTATGGTACCCTAAACCCTTATGGATCCATTAAAGGAACCCTTTTAAGGGACCGCGAAGTCGTGGCGACCTGTGGGCCAGCCCGCCAGCTTTGCTTCTGACTTTGCGTGGAACACTCCGAGGGTGTTTAGGGTTGTAGGGTTTCTAGAGTTTTTGGGTTTTTTCAGGGTTTTTTAGGTTTTGGGGTCTAGGGTTTAGGGCTTAGCGGTTTAGGGGCTTTGGGGATTATAGGGCTTATGGGTAGGGTTTAGGGGGTTTTCCGGTTTAGGGGCGTGCCCCAGGAACTCCTTAACCCTAAACCCTAAACCCTAAACCCTAAACCCTAAACCCCAGGAACTCCATCACCCACAATGGCACGGTGATGGCACACGGCCTGATGCAGTGCGGCACGACCAGTGATGTCTTTTTGCGTCGCCGGCCCAGTCCTGGACCTTAAAGAGCCATGGTTTAGGGTTTAGGGTTTAGGGTTTAGGGTTTAGGGTTTAGGGTTTAGGGTAATTCCCCAACAGGATTTCATTTGAGCCTTTCGGTCGTGCGTGTTTCTTTCTTTGGACATGTGTTTGAGATTGCGAAGAGCTGTGGCCCGCAGCTGTTTGTCAAGTTTGACATGCGTTTGATATCGCAAAAATGTCCCGAATCTGCTGTTTTGGTTTGAGATGTGTGTGAGATCGCGAAGACCTGTGGCCCGAATCTGCGTTTCAAGTTTGGCAAGTCTTCGAGATCGCGAAGAGCTGTGGCCCGAATCTGTTCGTCAATTTTGACATGTGTTTGAGATCCTGTCCCCTGGTCCAAAGCGCTGACTGCATTCGCCTGCTTTCTCCGCAAAAGCAATTTTCTTAAATTGTCTTAGTTTCCTATGGCATACTAAGTATACCATAATATACTATAATATGCAATGCTATACACTATATGATACTACAGTATACTACAGCATACGATCATCCAGTAAAACACTATAATTCAGAATCAGATGTTAAAGAACACTGTACTATATTACAATGTCCTCCAATATACTATCAATAACATACTGCTATATATATATATATATGTACATATATATATATATATCTATATCTATATCTATATCTATATATATATATACGGTGAAGGGAGCCCGGCTTCCTGAGCCCCGAAAGCGTGCCAAGGCAAGAACCTCGAGTGGTTGGCCAAGGCCTCCAATTGGGCCAAGTTCAGCGCCACGGCCTCCTTGGGCCAGCGGCTCACTGGGGCTCTGGTGGGTGGAAGTTACCGTCCTGGGGACTTCTTCCTTCGAGTTGAGTGCAGTCGCAGGCTTTTCAGGATTGAGGAACCAGATGTCAAACTTCCCACTTCCAGAAGGTTCGGCTCGGTAGAAAGATGCAACATTCCTGCATTAGCTGCTATGAGAGTGTGCTGCTCGGAGACATCTCGCGGCTGTCGTCTCACATGTGCTGGTCCCCGAGCCGAATTCAGAATCTGCTTACTCCTGAACGTTAAAGGGCCTTAAATTCCCAACGCCGTCGTAATTCCCCTGCGAAGGTAGTGAACTTTCCGTAGATTCGCTTCTCTGCAGAGGTGTCATCCACAAGGGCCACATCAAGGAGTCGAGGCACGTCCTTCGGAGAGTTTACACTACAATATACGTACTATACTATAGTATACTGTAATCGACCATACTATAATACTATACTCTAATGTGCTGAAACATATCTTATTGTGTCTACTTCTTTGGCTTTGGGAGGCCCTTGTTAATCTTGGCTTCAAGGCCTTTGGGGTTTCGGGCACAGGTTTAGGGCGCATGGCATGGACAGCTGGAGGTAGCTTGTACCAGGAATACTTGGCAGATTGTCATCGATTACATGTTTGACCCTTTAAGCCATCTGGGGGTTTCTGAAAATAGGGGACCCGAATATAGTACCCTAAATAATAGGATCCTTAATATAAGGACCCCAAAATAAGGTACCCCTAATTTTCGGAAACTCCCATCTGGCTAGATGGACGGGGAGCCCCAGATGCGGGAAAACAGGCAGTCCTTTTAGGGTGTAGGGTTTAGGGTTTAGGGTTTAGGGTTTCAGGCAGTCCTTTGATGTCAAGCGAGTGCGAGTGGTTTCAAGCTTTTCTTCTACGCTGGTTGCTGCTTCTGCTCTTGCTGTTGCTGCTGCTTTTTCTTGTTGTGGCTGTCGTTGCTGTCGTCATCCGTCGTGCTTAGCCCGAGGAGTATCGACACCCGTCAGATTCTTCGACACGATGTTTCCTGGCAGGTCCATTCTGAGCACGTACCTGCCGCAACAGGGAGGCGGGGATCGAGTCAGGGGCTGCGCCGCGGATTTGATCCCGAAATCTCGAAAAGCAGACCCTCAATCCGTATTTCGGGTGAGATACTCGAGGGGTCCTGAGCCGCCCGAAAGGCACGCGGGGCAGCCCTTACTCCGAAGGCGGAGCCCTCTACGGCATGGGCCGAAGCCTGAGCTGTCATGACCACGCTGCACATGTAGGTCTCTTTAAGACCCTTCTGCGAATGCTCCTGCTGCTGCTGCTGCTGCTGCTGCTGCTGCTGCTCCTGCTACTGCTGCACTACTACTACTGCTGCTGCTGCTGCTGCTGCTGCTACTCACTCCTTCATACTCCTTTTCCTGTTCTTATTCCAACTACCACAGCGACTACGACTGCGGCTGTGTCTGAGACTTATGATCACCAGCTCTGCACAGTCTGTAGTTGGATCTGGTTGGATCATCCTGGAAGTCTATGTCTCGAGGCACTTTTGGCCCACAGCTTTGCTAGAGGTGCCGCTGCGGCCACACTCTGCTGACAATGTTGGCAGAACGCATCGCAGGCATGATGGACAACTTGAGGGATGAGATGGTTTCGATGCTGCGAGATCAAGAACAACGTGGTTGTTTGATCACCGAGCTGCAAGACCAGCTCAAGACACAAACGATGAAAATGCAAGACTTGGAGAGGGAAATTGAGGAACTCAAAAGAGATTCTTGCATCCTTGCACATTCCACACGCTCCGGACAGTCAAGAGACACGAACGCCGCCATGCCAAAGATCGCCAGAGCATTCCGAATCTGATGATCACAGTGAGGCCGCAGAGCCTCGTCCTTCCGACATCGCGAAGCTGCTTTTGCAGCAGATTTCTTTCCAGTGGCGAAGGACAAGGCTGAGGAGTTCACAGAAAGCAATGAAGAGATAAAGCCGGTAAAAAGATGAAGGAAAGCACAGCTGCAAGCCACGACGTTACCCAAAGGATGTGCGGGTGGCGACAGGGAATGGATGCGAGAATTGGCCCCGATGTGGCACGCAATGGAATCGTTGGACTCATGAAGTGTGGCCAGGTTTTCACGGTGTCCGAAGAGAAGCCCGGCCAGGAGGGCACGGTTTTCCTGAAGTTGGCCGACGGAGATGGATGGGTCTTTAGCTGGAGCCGTGCAGGCACGCTCTGTGTACCGGCCGGCAGTGGCGCTCAGAAGGTTTCCCAGGAAGACCAAGCTTGGACTAAGGGCCAGGGCCAGGACGACAACGTGCGTGGCTCCTGGAGCTGGAGATCTTGACAAAAACGTGAGACCACTAAGACAAACTGGTGCAGCTCTTGCATCTCCCATAGCCCGCCCTCCAGCTCCTGGACGAAGGATGCTTGGGGACACGGCCAGCAAGATGAGGAGGAGCAAGACGAGTACACCAAGAACTGGGGCAGCAGATCTTGGAATCAGTCCAGGAAGTGGCCAAGATCCTCCTGAAAGGACCTCTCCAATGGCAAGGGTTGCCGTCGCAGCTCGGCAAAACAGCGACACAATGCGCCTTGACGACCTGATGACAGTGTGCAAAACCCGAATTCAAGAGATGTGGAAAACGCTGCGAAAGGAAGGGTTGCCAACATAGCTTTGCAATCGCCACCAAGATTCAAAGTGTGGATGGTTGGATTTTTGCATGGGAACTCCTACCCATGCCTGCCTCACCCACCATCCGCCCACCCCTCCAGCCACGGTGCGGCAACCCCAGAACGGTCTCAGTCTGAGCAGTATTCTCGCAATCACGACCACGTTGCCAAACACCCTTCCTACACACATCAGCACCACCTGGGTGGCATTTGTCTCAACGGCGACCACAGCTACAGTCGTTTACATAGCATTCAGGGTATTGGCAGCTGCGATAGGCACCAATATGCTATGAATGTATGCTCAGGATACACACACGCACCACGTATATAGATAGATAGGTAGATGAATAGATAGATAGATAGATAGATAGATAGATAGATACACACATACACACACGAAGTATCTATGAATCTTGAACGAGCTGCGGACAGCTTGACAGTGTTGTTGCCACGCAACATGTCCTTGACACTGCGCGCATGATTTGCTTGAGGCCTGATCCACGCAAATCATTACGATCCGGAGACGAAGGAGCTCCTGGCTAGCCGGGTTTGCTGCCTCGGAGCCTGCATTGTGGGGTTACTGCTTGGGTTCAGAATGTAGGGCTTTCATGGAGGTGCTGCGTTTCGGATGGGTCGCAGCCCGCAACGCGGCCAGGGCTATCTCGTGGAACAGCTGCGGAATGCCCAGGCGACAGAGGCGCAGCAATGGGAATATCTCCACATACCACTCATAGGCTGCAGTCGCGGCAAGATTAGATTTAATGCTGGAAAGAGAAACATTTTGGCAATACTGGCGGGAGCATCTATGCACACAGTAAAAAAGCATTCATCGCAGCAGTCCCTGTAGCCCATGCTACAAAGTCATAGCTGCGAATCAGACATATTCTACGGTTCTTGATCCGGAGACTCCACCCCAAGTGTAGGACTTGATTGGGGGTTGGATGTAGGGTGTAGGTGCAATCGGGGGTTGGATGTAGGGTGTAGGTGCATAGGAGGTTCCAACCAGAGATACCCACTTGATCTTGAATCTTCCTTCACTGCGTCCGAGACGCAAGCAGGTACTCCAGCACGGGGCCTGTCTCGGCATTGGCACAGAGCTCAGCAAGGGGGTGCTCAATGAACTGTAGCTGGGGAGAAGTGTAGGGCGTCTCTCCAATTATTGCAGTGTTTCAGCTTGCCTTCGTCTATGCCAACCTATTCTAAGGTTAACAGGTTGACGAGGGTTATTTTTCGGTGCCATTTACTGTCCGGGCAAGTACTATATTGCCATGGTTACCGCAGCTGTTGCAGAAGCTTGTCGAAGTTGAACTTGGAATCTGCTTGACGTTGCTTGAGGTACTTGCAGGATCAGGGGAATCAGGGAGTAGTTGTGATAGAAAGTAGCCTGCGCAAGAGCCGTACTTGGCACCCTACCTATAATCCTACATGTAGCCTTGTTGCGCCCTCGCCTGGCATTCCAAGTGATGGATTCGGTTCCAGTGCGAGGTTCCCGAGCTTTTGTTGCGGTGACTTCCTTCACTGGCGACATACATCATGATGATCAGGAATAAGAAGATGATGATGGAGACGATGACCGTGGCAATGAGAGCAAACGGCCACATGAACCTCAAACAGCTGTTATCCCCACGACTGCCAACGTTTCAGAAGAAGTTCTCACGCAGATCCAAACTTCGCAGGAAGATCTCCGACTGAAAAGCCCTTGGAAGCTTCGCAGGTCTTTTGTGCATGGCGACTGCAGACGAAAGTATCTACGATGAGCTGACCCAGACCTTGCCTTGCACTCAGCGTCCTTTGCATCTCGGCTCTTCGGAGCCTCCCCCAGGTACCTACTATATAGGGTACTAGAGCCCCTAAAACCCCTATATAGTAGGCACCTGGGGGGTTAGGGCTTTATGCCATACTCCAAGCTTCGGAATGGCACAGCTAGTTCTTCATCAGGAGTTCAAAGAGGGGATCCGGTTCCGATCTAGGATTTGCTCTGATTCCTCTGGAGTTTTACCCAAGGCACGTTCCTGAGCACTGAGCAATGAAAATGCAATCCCGGTCCCGGATCCTGGACCGCAAGCTCCGTTCTTCAAATCTTGGCCTTTCCAAACCTTTGCACTTTACCCTAGGCCGCTAAACACAGGACCCGCAAACCCCAAACCCTAAACCCTGACCTAAACCCTACCCCCTTAATGACCCCAAACCTATCCCGACACCCCTGTAACACCCTTACAGCGGCCCTTGTAGAACCCTGAAAGGAACATCTCAGCCAAACCGCCCTGAAACTTCAAAGGCCTTAGGCACTAACCTTTATAGATGCCAAAAATCCTTAAACTCAGCTACACTATAGACCATGAAGATCCCTTTTGGAACCCTTATGGGAACCCCAATAGACACCCTGACAGAAACCCGTGAAACCCAGGTACACGGACACCGCTGTCGCGGGTGAGGCGGCAGCTTATGCCATCGGACTCGTCATGGTTGCGCACCCGGCAAATTTTTCGGCGGGTGGTTGCAGTAGGGGTTGTGGCGAGCAGGGGTGGAGTATGGATGTAGGCACAGATGCGAAGAGTGAAGCTGTTTGCTGAGAATGCCAGCGCGGATCGCGGTTCTGAACGGCGAATGCTCCGTGTGCAAGTTTCTCGGACTGACTTAGGTCGGTTCTGCATCGCAGAAGGCAATCGACGAGCTTTGCCCTTATGGCAGATGGGCGCTTGCTTTGCGAGTGGCGTCCGATGTTCAGACTTCAGATCGTCGGACTCGATTTCGCCTAAGACAGACCGCAGAGCCAGCTTGACGATCGAGCAGTGGCGGTGGTCCCCCAGATCCCAGATAACTATCTTGGGAATTCGGGTTCCCTTGCGTCATCAGTAGAGCTCAGCTCGAACTTTGTCCTTTGCGTCTCCGCTTTGGCTCGAACGTTGGAGGTTCTTACGTTCTAGGCCTTTCCGCTGCGTCCGAGCCCATGGAGCTGGGGAGGCGGCGGACCTTCGTAAACTTCCTAGTGGCAGGGTGCCAAGCTTCCAAGCTTCACTGCAACACACCCTAAACTTCCTACACCCCAGACCCTAAACCCTAAACAGACTCAGAGCTGTGGAAAAAGGCCATCAAACAACAACTTAAACAGTATCAGAAAAGGTCATCATCCATTTGTCAACATTGCTTACATGCTACGGAACAGGGAGAGCAGAGCAAAAGTGTGGCCTGGCCTGCAGTGCAGTCGTGGGCGTGGAGGGTTTAGGGTTTCGGGTTTCGGGTTTAGGGTTTGGTAGGTAGGTAGGTAGGTAGGTAGGTAGGTAGGTAGGTAGGTAGGTAGGTAGGTAGGTAGGTAGACAGGTAGGTTTTGAAGCGACACAGCGGCATTTGTGTGTCTGCTGGCGTGCTTGTACGTGTGGGTGCATACGATCAAGCAGATCCTACCAGTATCAAGCATGTGAAAGACGACAGTCTAAATACATAGCAAGATCTTCGTGTATTCATGCATGCATATATTCGCCCCTACACCTGAAACACGTTACCTCTAAGCCGTAAGGCTTAAATCTGCTTGAGAACTCTTTGCCCAAGGTGTTCCTCTTTGCTGCTTCACGCGCAGCTGCACTACGACCTGGGAATGGACAGCCCTTCGGACCGCACGGGGGATTTTGGAGGAAGAGGGTTGAGGCTCTCGGGGTTTGGGCGTGCGTGTCTGCGTCTCCCGGGGGTCTGGGTTTCTGCCGAAGCATCACGGGTTGGGATGCTCCGTAGGCTTTATCTTCTTGTTTCTGGTAGGTCAGTTTGGAAGCATGAGAGCATTGCTACGGTGGTGATGTAACCTCGACATCCGTCCCTTGACGCCTACTTCCACACTTCCCCATAGACTCGCAGGTTCAGCGAGACAGCATGACAGACCAGAATGAGACCAAACCCAAATGGCATGGCGTTGATGTCAAGCTGTCGCCCCGGCTGTTTCCAGGCCCTGCGCAGATTCGGCTGTGAAGGGCCTCTCCGAGGCCTGCGAGTGAGGAGATGCTGTGGCCACTTCGTCGCCTCCTTCGGGGCAAAGGGCATCGTGAGGGTCCTGCTTTTGGAGAGGGTTAGTTGTGGGGATTGCTGCGGGTTTAGGGTCCCAAGCCCTGGGCCCTTGGGCCCTGGGCCCGACCTTGCAGGCAGATGCCGCAAAGCGCTTCTTCATGCTGGCAGAGCTGGTGGATGTCTCCGGTTGGGGCCCGAGGCCATCGAGCAACACCAGCGAAGGCAGATGCAAATGGCTACAAGTTTGGGAAGTTTGCATGTTGTTGCAATAATATACACTCGGACTCATGTTTCTGCATTGTTGCCATCTACATAGCTTATGATGGTTTGAGGAGCTCTTTTTCAGTTCCGACACTGCCGCCTGAGAGCGAGCTCTGAGGTGTCTCTTGCCTCGACAGGCTGCGGAATCTCCAAGCGTCCACAGACAGCCAGGGCTTCATGCCCATGCCTCGGTTTGCGGTTCTCGGGACCCCGTTACCCCCAAGAGGCCCCGACACCGTCAGGCTACCTATAGTCTCCGTTGTAGTTCCTTTTTTGAGATACCTTATAAACTCCTTAATATATAATTGGTTAAACCAAAACAAGGAACTACAATGGAGACTAAACCCTAAACCCTAAACCCCTAAACCCTAAACCCTAAACCCCTAAACCCTAAACCCTAAACCCCAAGGTAAGCCCTTAAGTCACTTAAGTCCTTGCCCGAGGCCTGACGGGGCCTGGACCAGCTGCCTTAAGAAGGCGCGGCTTCGATATCGCCGGCAGAAGGGAACCCAGAGAACCCAGTACCCCTTAATTTAAGGAATAGACCCTAAATCATAATATTAAGGCCCCTATAATTTAAGGCTTAAGGTCTATTCCGTAATTAAGAGGTATTGGGTTCTCTGGGAACC